TCTTGGAGAGTTTAAGAAAAGCCAGAATGATGGGGGAAGAGGAGAGAATGTCCTCCTTATGTGATTTCTCCTGACATTTCTGCCTCCTCTTCCAGCCTCTCAGCCAGGCACTGTTAGTGGTCTCTTCCCTTTGGAGACAGTACAACCTCCTAGCAAGTTGCGACACCTACTTCTCAGGGATTCCATGAAAATGGATAAGGAAGAAGCTTCATGTAGCAAGGCTGGTCTTGGATCAACCCTTGAGACCAGAATGTAATCACAACGTATAAAACTACCCAAACTGACCATAGGACAGTGTCTTTATGAGTGGGAACACCTGACCCAGGGAGGGACCAGCAATTAGCTGAGCAAACAAATTGTAGCCATGACCCTGGGGACTAAATTGCTAAGTCCCATAGACTGTAGAAGCTGAGAGCTGACCAGAAAAGAAGGAGATCCCTCCTAGGGGGAGGAGGTGATTTCTCTCCCCAGGTCCCTTTGGTCAGTTGTTCCAAGGGCATCCAACCAAGGCCTTCGGGTGCTTTTCCCATGTGTGTATCTTACCATATATCTCACTACCAATCTGGTCTAAGTTTATACCCACTTTTTAAGAGACCTTAAACTCGATTTAAAACTATAGCCAAGCCCCAAATACCTAGTGTTTCCATTGTGGGTTGATGGGAGTGGAGTGGCTGGTCAATGATCAGTTCCTGTACCCACAGTACTTTATGTTTCCATAATGGACTATGAGGAGGGAGTTGGGGCTAATCAATGACTAGCTCCCCTATACACAAATGGCAATTAATGAAGATCTAGGGGGAGGACAGTTGGTTTTTGACTAAAACTGGTTTTAATAGGAATCTTTAAAAATTCCCTACAAAAAGAGGACTGCCCTGCTGAGAAGCAGCATTCTCCAGGCTGCTGGCCAAGTGGCTAAGCCAGGCTCATAAGCTGGGCACAGGCGTCGTTCTTGCTTTGTCAGAGGCTTTCTACGTCCCTGAGCATCACCCTCAAAGACTCATTTAAATCTCCCCAGCTTCTATTCTCCACCTCTTGGACCATGGAAAGAATAAGAAGTGTTTGTTTAGCCCTTGGAGACAGACCATGGCTGCAAGGAGGCAGTGGAAAAAAAAACCACACGCATTACAGAAAGCCGTCTTTAATATTTCATAGTCTTGAGGTGCCCATTTATTTATAGGGGCATATTTGAAAACACAAACAAATAGGAGAATGAGGCTGCTCTTATGTGTACCACAAAGTCTTTCGATGGAAAACAGTCTCACTCTTAAAAGCAAAAAGCCAAAAGTGGAGGGGGTGGGTGGGGCACCGAGGATGTGAGCAAGTCCTTAGTGCTGACAGTTGGGTAAAGATTTCTCTGCAAACAATCCCCGGGAAGGGAATGTCATAGCACAAAACTTCAATCCGGAGCTACAATCAAGCAATGGGAGAGGAAGAAGGAAGAAAAGAAAGCCTGGGGTCTGGGCTCATGGATTCCTGCCTGGGTCTATGCCTCAGCTGCCTAGGTGATTTAGGGTGAAGCCTTTTTTTTTTTTCTGTGCCATTAATTTTCTAATCTGTAAAATGGAAATGAGTAATGAAGAGATGCTTCTGGGAGCTGTCTGACATCAGGCCCTCAGAGGTCCTGTCCGGAAGAGAAGGGCTTTGTAGTATTGGCCGTTTGCTTTCCACAAAACGAATTAAAATAGCAATATTCATGGCTGAAGAGTTTCCGAAAGGATTCCCTGTCATTGCCAATCTTCCACGGTAACTCTAGAGGAAGTGCTTAATCTGCAGTCATTGACTGACTGACGGATCGACTGCTTTCCTTTGGGGACCTCGAGCCCTTAAATGTCAGTCTCTTGTGGCCTTCTCGTACAGGATGCACAGTCACGCACTGTGTTCCTTCTGATTTTACAGAAGAGGAAAGTAAGGCACAGAAATAGGTAGCGACTTACCCTAGCTCACACAGAAAGTTGGTGACAAATGCATAAGCCTTCAGGGACAGAGGACCTGGGCTTCTGGTCTGCCCTCCAGAGCATGCATTCTCTCAGAAGCATGAGAGAGCAAAAGGAGAGTTTGATGTTGAGTGCTGAAAGTTACAATCCTAAAAAAGTGCGCTTTTAAATCGCTTTTAAAAACCCCACAGACACAAAAAGACATAAGTAGAGAAAATCAGGTCGAATGTGTTCATATTTAAATATTAGATGAAAAATATGAGTTGCCTTTAGCAATGGCTAAATCAGGGGTGGGAAACCTGGGGCCTTGAGGCCACGTGGCCTTCTAGTTCCTCAAGTGCAGCCCTTTGACTGAATCCAAATCTGAGACGGGATAAAGATGTTGAATGCTATCTGCAAGGGCAGACTGCTTGGTGTTGGAAGCATCACCAAAGCCCATGGGCTGGTATGCTACCCTTAACTGATGAGAGAAAGGAGGTAGGAAGGGAAGGAGGGGGAGAGAGACAGACAGACAGACAGAGATAGAGAGACAGAGAGAATGAGAGAGGGACAGAAAGAGACAGAGAGTGAGAGTCTGAGATGAGATAGACAGAAACAGAGACAGAGAGGGAAGGTGAGATAGAAAGAGAAGACAGAGGCAGAGAGAGAGATAGGATAGAGACAGAGAAAGAGAAAAGGAAAAATGAGAGAAACAGAGAAAAGGAGAGAGAGATGAAATAGAGAGACAGAAATAAGAGACAAGGACAGAGAGAGTCAGAGAGAGAAACAGAGACAGAGGAGAGAGATGAGATCACACACAGACACACACACACACACACAGAAACAAGAGGCAGACAGGAATAAAGAGAGACAGAAATTGAAAGAGACAAAGAAATAGAGACAGAGACTCTGAATACTTCATTCCTGGTCTCCCTGCTCTTGGCTCCAGGAAGCAGACCCTTAGGAGTGGATGGCTAGCTTCTTCCTGACATGCACGGCTGACCAGAGCCAGGTTCCCCTGGCCTCAGCGCAGGCTATTGGAGAAACCCTGGCTCCGGTTGAGGCTGGTCCTGTGACCTTTAGTCCTGAGCTGAGAACATACAGACGCTTCAGACACAGGCTCTCTAGATCTGAACATTTTGCCCTCTGGCCAAGACCCTTTGGCAGCTCCCAGGGTGAAGCAGGCAGCCATGTGTACAACAGCAGCAAATGCCCTGAGCATAGGCACTCTACTGTCTTTCACAAAGCTGACAAATAGGAAGAGAGCAGGGACAGTGAAGAGCTCTCATTTCTGGAGCACTGCCCAGTTTATAAAGTGCTTTTTCTACCAACTCTGTGAAGGAAGTAGTGCAACTATATACTGCTATCACCATTTTATAAATGGGGAAACTGAAGCCCAGAAAGTTTCAGTGGCAGAACCAGGACTTAAGAGCCCGGGTCTTCTGACTCCAAGTCCAAGATTTTTTTCCATTATGCCATAAATATCTGAACTTACAGAATATGGCTTCAATCCTTTCTTATGTGAAGAAGACCATGTATATCATAGGCCAGCTAACACCCAGGGGACAGAGAAGGTGCTCTGTTATGCTGGGCTCCTGTTAGTTATTTGGTGTCCATCTGCACTGTGGCAGCTCCACTGGAAAACTCTGTGTTGTCTTGCTTTTCACATAATCAATCCACAAAAATTTATTATATGTCTAATGTGTACCAGGTACTATGCTAAGTGCTTTTTGCAAAGAGTATCTCATTTGATCCTCGCAACACTCCTGCCAGGCAGGTGCAATTATGTCCATTTTACAGTTGAGGAAACTGAGGCAAATGAAGTCACAAATGACCTGCCCAGGGTCACACAGCTAGCAAGTATGCGAAACTGTATTTCAATTAACATCTTCCTGACTCCAGATTCTGTGTTCTATCCATAGTACCACCAGCTGCTTCTGATGCAGAAGTGATAGATGTCTTACAAAGACAGCCTTACTAGAATAAGTGTTGGTTCTCAATAGCACGTTGAAGTCTGTAGAGGACTTTATGGAACTTAACCTATTTGAGCCTCACAACAGGGTAGGTACTCCGGGTGTTCTTGTCTCAATTTTACAGATGAGGAAACTGAGGGAAACTCAGGGAACCTAAATGACTTGCCCATAGTCAGTCAGCTAGTAAGTATGTCTAAGGTGAAATATGAATATGCTGACCCTGACTACAAGCACGCAGCCCACTATTACGTGCTGCTCATGTGACATGGTTCTAAAACACACAGCAAGCATTCAGAGGACACTGAGCTACCTAGTGATATAAGCATGTCTTCTGGGTGCTTCTTAGCTCCAAAAACCTTCAGCTGTGTGCCTCAGGACACATTCACTATCTGGCACAAGCAACGCTTGCTGTGAAGCATTATCTCTTGTTTACGGAAAGGGAAAGGGAGGCGAAGTGTTCTGGGAAGCCTTGGGGCCCCTGGGGAGAAGTGGATGAGTTACTATCACTGTTATGAGATGAATAATTCAAGCCTGAGCAGGCTGAGCAAGGGATGGATGATAGAGCAGAGGCCCCATTAAATTAAACACGGCGTCAGATTACAGACGAGGCAAAAAGGAAAGAGAACAGGGAGATAGGACCCGTGCTTAGGAAGGCTAGCACAGTGGAGGCATGCATAATTGAATCTTTTTGTAAAATGGAGAGAAACAACAGGCTGGCCGCTGTGTGGTTTCATAAAAGGTCAGAGTGATTGATCGTAGAGCTCGTCCAGTACAATCTCTTTATTTTACAGAGGCGATCCAGTGATTTACCCAAAGTGGCAGAGTTGGGACTAGAACCGAGGTCTACAGATTCCCCATCCAGAGCACTTCCCATTACCCTGCCTTGATTTTGTGGCTGGATCTCATTTCTATTTTTACAAAAAACAAAAACAAAAAAACCAAAAACATCTTGAGGGTATGTGACTGGTGGAATACAACGCCCGCAGCGGGTGACGATGATGACAACTGTCTAGAAGGTGCTCTGTAACCACTTTTGGTTGGATGGATGGTGTTGATAGTAATCGGCTTCCTTCCCACCAAAGTTTGTGTTTCAGAAACAAAAAGGTGGCCTTACCTTAATCCCACCTTTGGGTTTCTTGATGCTTTTCTTTTTCAACAACTCTGCTTCATTGACTGTCTTGGGAGGACAGGGAACTTCAGTTATTCTCCTACTGGGAGCTGGGAAGACAAAGAAAAACCTAGATTAATTTGGCCATCTGGTGTATTATTTATAGGCATAAACGGCATCAGGGGGCTAATGACATTATCAGCTTTCTTGAAGTATTGAAATATCCTCCTGGTCAGTGTTTGTGTATACAGCCTCCCCCATTCCAGTCCATTCATCTACAGCTGCCAAACTGATATTCCAAAAACACAGGTCCAACCATTATCACATCCCTATTCAAGAAGCTTCAGTGCTTCTCTCTTCATCGCCAGGTTTCTTTTCTGCTGCCTAAAGATAAGCCTAATTATCCTTTATTCTTGAAAACAAAACAAAGCAAAAAACAAAAACAGACAAACAAAAAACCCTCAGCCCTTCTATCCCCTCAACCTGTCCTCCTAAATTTATCCATCCTCCCAGTCTTAGGCAAACTCTACTTTCTGCACTTTCACTCACTCCTAAGCCCTTTAAGCTTCTGACCTCACCACTCAACTGAAACCTCCTCTCCAAGATTACCAATGATGACTTAAATGCCAAATTGAATGGCTTTTTCTCCGTCCTCATCCTCTAGACTTCTCTATAGCATTTGACACTGTTGACCGCCCTCTCCTTGGGGATCCTCCCTCCTCTCTGGGTTATCATGACACTGCTCTCTCTTGGTTCTCCTCTTATCTCTCTACTGTTCCTTCTTGATCTTTTTTGCTGATTCATCATCCATATCACCACTTAACGGTGGTCATATCTCAAAGCCCTCTCCTGTGCCCTTTGTTTCCCTCTCTGTAGGGATTCCCTCACTCTCATCAGTTCCATAGGTTCAATTATTAACTCTACATAGGTACATTTCACCTTAGTCTCTCTCCCAAGATCCATTTCCATATCTCCAAATACCCACTAGACATTTCCAACTTTACATCCTGTAGATATCTCACAATCAACAGGTACAAAGCAAAATTCATTGTCTTTCTCCCCTAAACCTCCCAATCTTCTAAGCTTCCTCATTTCTGTCAACAGCTATCCTTTTTCACTATCCTTCCAGTCACCCAGGTTTTCAACCTAGTTTTTGGCTGTTACAAATAAAGCAGTTGTTATATTTTTTGACAGATAAGTCCCTTTTTTAATGTTCTCTTTAGAATAGAAAGGCAATGGGACATCGGCTGGGAGAGAGCTGACTTCAGAGTCAGGTGGACTTAGGGTTGAGTCTTACTTCTGCCACATACTGGTTGGGTGACCTTGGGCAAATGACTTACCCTCTCAGTGCTCTGGGAAGGTCTAGGTTGAGAAAAGTTGACAATCTGCACTGGTAGAGGAAGTTTCTTCATCTGGAACTTCCTTATATCAATGAAGTCACAGATGAAGTCCCTATTTCTACTTTTGGAATAAAGTCCGATGTCAGATTCCACTGCTTCCCAAGGCAGCCCATTCCACTTAGCCTATGCCCAATTGTTAAGTAAATTTCCTGACATCAAATCTCACCTTCCATCTAAGGGCAAGTGCTACAAAGATTTCCCCCTATTGTTTCTTTTTGTCTCAGAGATAATTGTTTTTGTTGAGCAAATTACTTTTACGTTGGACATAATCAAACCCACTGGATTTGTATTCAACAGTTTCTTCAATTTGAACCTTCCCACTGTTGAGACAAATATAGCTTTCCTTTTTCTCTCAGTTTTTAAATAGTTTTGAAGTATTTAATTAATCTTGTTTATTATTAACAATAACTGGCAGTTACTTAGAAGGAAGGAAAAATAATAATTTATTAAGTACCTACTATGTGCCAGGCAATGTGTTAAGAACTTTATAAACGTTATCTCATTTGAACCTCATAATAACCCTGGGAGATCAGTGCTATTATATCCCCATTTTTACAGTTGAAGAAACTGAGACAAGTTAAGTGACTTGATAGATTAGAGAAATGCAAATCAAAATGACTCTGAGGTACCACATCACACCTATCAGATTGGCCAACATGACAAAACAGGACAATGATAAATGTTGGAAAAGATGTGGGAAACCTGGAACCCTAATGCATTGTTAGTGGAGTTGTGAATTGATCCCACCATTCTGGAGATCAGTTTGGAACTAATGCCCCAAGGGCTATAAAATTATGCATAGCCTTTGACCTAGCGATACCACTTCTAGATCTGTATCATAAAGAGATCACAAAAATGGAAAAAGGACCCACATGTTCAAAAATATTTCTAGCAGCTCTTATTGTGGTGACAAAGAACTGGAAATTGAGGAGATACCCATCAATTGGGGAATGGCTGAACTAGTTGTGGTATATGAATGTAACGGAATATTATAGTGCTAAAAGAAATGATGAGCCGGCGGACTTCAGAAAAACCTGAACAGACTTATATGAAACTGATGCTGAGTGAAATAAGCAGAACTAGGAGAACATTCTACACAGTAACAGCCACACTGTGTGATGACTGACTTTGATAGACTTAGCCCTTCTCAGCAATGCAAGAATCTAAGACATCTCCAAAAGTCTCATGATGGAAAATGCTATCCACATCCAGAGACAGAACTATGAAGCCTGAATGCAGATTGAAGCATATTATTTGTTCTCCTTTTCCTTTGTTGTTTTGTGTTATTGCTTCATTCTCATGGTTCCTCCCATTAGTTCTAATTGCTCTTTACATCATGACTAATGGGAAAATATGCTTAATATGAATGTATAAATAGAGCCTATATCAGATTATTGCATGCCGGGGTGGGAGGGAAGGAGAGGAAGCGGGAGAAAAATTTTAAACTCAAAAGCTTATGGAAGATTGTTGATAAATCAAAATAAATTAATAAAAAATTTTTAAAAATCTTATGGAAGTGAATGTTTAAAACCAAAAATTAATTAATTATATTTTTAAAAAGTTAAGTGACTTGTCCAGGGTCACTCAGCTAGGAAGTTTCTGAGCCCAGATTTAAACACAGGTCTTCTTGACTCCAGGGTTGGCACCCTATCCACGGCCCTGACTAGATGCCTAGGACATTAAGGTTTATGCTCTCAGATGAAAGGGACTATAGTGGCCATCTAGTCAAACGCATCCATGAAGAAGAAACTCTATTAACATAGCCCTGTGCCCTCATACCAGATGTCCCAAGTCCTGCCTCCATGCCTTTGCACCCAGGTGCAGCCTGGGAAAGCTCTCCCTCTACTCCTCCACTGCTCCCTCCAGGCCTTAGTATTCCCTTTCTTGAAATAACTTTGCATTAACTCGCATTCACTCATCTGCCTGTGTATATCATCCCCCCTAGGACAGAAGCTCAATGAGGGGTGGGATGCTTTCATTTTTGTCTCTGTATCCTCAGCACCTAATTCAATGCCTATGTACACAGAAGGTGCTTAATAAGTGACTGTTGACTTGATTTGAAGATTTCCAATGAGGAGGAACCCACTATGACCTTGGAGGCAGCTCATAACATTTTGGGATAGCTCTGATTGTTTAATTTGTCATTATACCAAGCCTGAATTCTCCACTTTGCATCTTCCCCTATCATGAACTTAGTTCTTCCCTCTGCAACCAAACAGAAGAAGCCTAATCCTTCTTCCACATAACAGTCCCTCAAACACTCAAAGACAGCTTATCATGTCTCCCCCAGCCCTTTTCTCTTCAGGCTAAACACCCCCCAATTTCTTCAATGGATCCTCATAAACACCAAGGTCCTTCACCATCCTAGTTACCCCCTCTGGACACCTTCTTGCTTATCAAGGTCCTTCCTAAAATGTGGTGTCCAGGACTGAACATATGACTCCAAGTGTGGTCTCATCTGGGCAGAGGCCCAAGTCATATCTGGGTTCCTGGAAGCTCTCTCTAGCTCAAAGCAGCCTGAGACCACATAAGTATGAGGCCCATGACAATGGATGCCAAACCTGGAATCCAGTAGGATTCCACCTGGGTGGGATGAGTTGATGTTGAATTTTAAGAGAGACTTCACTGTGTGGGGTGCTAGAATGAGTCCCTCTGATCACAACAGCACCAACATAAACATGACACCAGCACTTAGTCAGCTGTTACCCTACGATCTCGTTTTTGACCAAGAGCCTGAATTGATTAGAATCAGCTGGTGATTTGTCTAAGTTCTATTTGGTGGCCATTCTCCCAAAGTGGAAGTGCTGGGAACCACTAAAGGAGGAGCTCATTGGGACCAGCTTTCACACACCCCTCTTAGAAATACAACTGAGACCTATTCACATTCTGTTTAACTTATATAACCTGAAATCAGGTGTTTTAAGAAGTGTGAAGACAATTCCCTCCTGCCTACTCTTGAGCAATAAGCAAACAGGACTTAAAACAGAGACTGAGCACTAGCGTGATCCAGCTTTCATCAAACCAACCCACCCAGGACTAGCAATCAGAATGACTAGGTTCTAGGCCGGTCTCTGCGATCAGCTACATTTGGTCAAGTTAACCTCTCCGGGCCTCCATCTCCTCACCTATAAAATATGGAGGACCAGATGGACGCTGTCCAAGGTCCCCTCAGCATGCTGCTTCCACAATGCAGTATTCAGTCCAGAGTGTCTTACTTGTGAGCTTACGTCTCTCCACAACCTAACGACTCGGTGCTCCCTTTACATTAACTAAACAGTCAATAATCATTTATTAATCGCCATCTGTGTGACAAACACTGTGCTAAGCCCTGGGAATGCAAAGAAATTTAAAGACAGTCTCTGCTCTCAAGAAAGGCAGGTGCTCACAGGCGAAGGGAGGAGACAACATGGCGGTAGGTCACCAAAGACAGTCCAACTAGACTTTCCGGGCATGGCCTCTCCAGAGTCCTGCCGGTTGGTTTAGGCATCACACCTTGCTGTCTTGCCAGAATGAGTAAACAGCCCACTACTCTTGTCATCATACCCATCCTAAATGCAAAGGCCCTAAAAACAATAAATAATGATACTATAGCCACAGGAAAGCAGAGCCACCTCGTCATCTGGGCCCAGCTCTAGAAGCCAGAAAACATGTGACTCCAAACCAATCGTGGTTTATACTTTATGGGCATAAGACTGTCAGTTACCACCTTA